GCCCCGCACACCACCTGGGGGCCGCCGGCTCGGGTGCTTTGGCTTTTTCTTTTTGAAAGAAATTACTTTAGTGTGGGTTTAAAAAAAAAAAAAAAAGGGTGGGGGGAAGGGAGAAAAAAAAGTGTTTTTTTTTCCCTTTGCTTATTTTCTTGGCCCGTTCGCATCTGCCTCGGATGGTGGGAGATTTTTCTTTTCAAGACCTTTTCATCGCCTTGCAGGGTCGATTTCCCCCCCTTGTCCCCCAAACTACAAAAGAGCACGACTCGCTTTGTAAACAAATCAGTGTTATTTGTTTTTTCCGGGGGAGGGGGGGCGGATTTGTTGAAAAGGAAAAGCAGTTAAGAAAAAAAAAATCACCCAGATGCTTTTCTTTTTATTATTTTTTTTCTATTCGCATGAACTATGTGAATTTTGATTGAGGTGGAAATAGTAACGGATTTTCTCTTTTTAGTGTAGCTGACGGCTCTTCAAACATTGTCTTTGAGTTTTTTTTTTTTTTTTTTTTTGAGATAGAGTCTTGCTGTCTCATCCAGGCTGGAGTGCAGTGGCATGATCTTGGTTCACTGCAAGTTCTGCCTCTTGGGTTTAAGCAATTCCCTGCCTCTTGGGTTTAAGCAATTCTCCTGCCTCAACCTCCTGAGTAGCTGGGATTTCAGGGGCCCAGCACCATGCTTGGCTAATTTTTACATTTTTTAGCAGAGACAGGCTTTCACCATGTTGGCCAGGCTGGTCTTGAACTCCTGACCTCAAGTGATCCACCTGCTTTGGCCTCCCAAAATGCTGGGATTATAGGCATGAGCCACCGTGCCTGGCCTCTTTGAGCTTTTGATGAGCTTTCCAAAAGCTAGATGGCCTGGAGTGACTTAAAAATGTTTAGGATTAAAAAATCATCCATCTGACCTCACAAATGGTGGGGTGCTTGGAGACTGGATACTAACAGTAGACCCCTAGGCCTTTGCAGGGAGAGTTCCTGTCCTCAGCCTGAGAGGCGTGCCAGGGGTGTGGCTGGGTCTGGTCCCTTGTTGAAGGGACTCTTCTGTGTGGCATCCATGGCATGCGGATGGTTCGCGTGTGTCTTTCTTTCTGCTCTCACTATTTTCTTTCATTCGCCACTTGGAAGGAGCAAGAAGTGGAGGCTGGGCCAAACCCCAAAGGGCAGGTGTGCCTTGTGCTTGGCCCTGGAGCTTCCTGTGGGTTGAGGGCTGTGTTGTTGCTACAGAAGTGCTTTGTGAGGTCGTGGCTGCTCCAGGAAAAAGCGCCCTGTCTTGAAGTGGGAGGAAGTTATCTCTCAATGGGTTTTCTGTTTCGGGGCAGCGAGATGCTGGTATGTGCCCTTGGAGAGATCTTGGTCTAAATCAGGCAGAGGGTGAGTGAAGAAAATGCATACATAAGGAGCCTGCTCAGGGCCAGTGGTTGAAAGGCCAAGTCCTGCTCTTGGAACTGTGCATCTGAACTTCAAACTGCTGCTTCCGAGCCACCTGAGACGATGGACGGGAAGGTGTGTGGAGGCCACGTGTGAAGGTTGCCAGCTGGGGTCCGGGTGTGCTGTTGAAATGTTCTCTGGGAAACCCCATAGTATATCTCCAAAGCCTTAGGCTCATTGAAAAATGCTGGTGACAGACGGACCTCACTGGTTCTGCCAAACTGAGTTCTACACATCATGAATGTATTGTGAGACCCCTAAGACGTCTCTTTGTACTAACTGTTTCAACTTTGTGTTTCTTTAGGGTGGTACCGAGGTTATACCTTAAGAAAAAAGTCTAAGAAGGTAAGTCCTTCTTCTTAAACACAGTGCATGTCTCTTCATAAATCAAACCTTGAGAGGAAATCAACTCCATCTCATTTGTGTCTGAGAGTTTTACTTCTGTATCTCTTTCTCTGAATTAAAAAAAATATATGGGTAGGAATGTGAACGACCTTGGATTGTTTTCTTCTGAACTATACGTGTATATAGAAATTGTAGCTTCATCTTCGTGAATGAATTGCTGGGTTGTGATATAGCGTTGGCCTGTTGTCGTCTGTTCCTGAATTTTGCGTCCTTTTTAGGCCTCGGTGTGTCAGAGAATGATCTGAGTAAAGCGACTTCAGGAGAAAAATTATTTCTCAAAGTTGTCAATCTTACGTTGTCCTTAATAATAGATTAGCAAATTTACAAAGCTCATGCGTACTGTTTCCCTCTTGCATTTAACTGTTTTTACATGGCCTAAGTCGAGCTGTGAAAAAAGGAGTTCTGCTCTCCTAGAGCAGTTTGCATGAGTGGTTGTTTGAATTGCTGAAACCAAGACGTGTAATTATACCTCGGATCATTGTGGTGGGCACTCCCGTACACAATTCTGTTGTGGCTTTAACATTCTTAGCTTCTCAGAACCTAATTATGGCTCTTCTGTTTCATTCTGTGATGTTAAGATTTTGAAGTAACCTCTATTCTAAGCTGTGGTTGGGCCATCCACGTTAACTGATATATTTTCATATCTAATTATGCTTGATAGATGGTTCATTTTACTTTTGTGTCCTAAATTTGCCTCTCATCATCTCCTTATTGGGCTGGACTCTGGACTGTGGTCCTGAGCCTGTAATAAGTCCTCCAAAGTCTAGCGACCCGAGTGCCAGGGCCTTCCCACTCTGCCCTCCCCAGAGCCCCTAACCCAGGCTTTGCTGAGCAGGTCAGAGTGGGTCTTCCTCTCGCTGCACCAGCACTTGGGGAGGGTCCAGGGTGGTCCCTATGGCAGCCATCCTCTGGCACCGTCATGTCTAATGTGAGAGACACTGTTAGGAAATCAGTGAGCCAGATCTGCAAATTGGGACCAGGACCTCTCACCTCGGCCTTGCCAGCCTCAGACTGGGCTTCAGGTCTCTACACATCCAGTGACCTACAGCCATGAAGTTGGGATGAGATAGATTCGACCCAGGGGATGGTGGAGTAGATTTCTCCAAGGAAAGTTCTATTTGCCCATTGATTTTCCCTTCCACAGTCAAGAGTGAATTCCAGCCAGGCCCAGTGGTATGCACCTGTAGACCCAGCTACTTGAGAGACTGAAGTGGGAGGATTGCTTGAGCTCAGGAGTTTGAGACCAGCCTCGGTTGGTCATGATAAGTGAGATCTGTCCCTAAAAAAAAAACAGTGTATTCCTGCAGATGAAACTCTGAATTTGGGAAAGCTGCAGTTGAAACCTTTAGTAATAAGAGATTAAGATCATGGAGTAATATGCCCCTCCCCCATCCCATTCCTACATAGGACACAGCTGCCGCATCCTGGGCTGGATGTGCCCCAGGCAAGCTGTTCCTTTTTCTTTGAATCTTGTTTTGTATTTGTTATCACCTTCCCCAGTTTGAGATCTCCTCCATTCCCACGATGTCTCCCCAAACCACAGTACTTTTGCACTACACCTGGGTGCCTAGACGTCATAACTCATTCATAACTCATCGACACAGTAGAGCTGGGTAGGGCGTAGCTATTTTTCCATCTAAGATCTCCACTGGTAGATGAAGAAATTCAAGCTTTACAGAGATTGTAAATTTGTAAGGGGCCTCCCAGGCAGTAGCAGAGAAGGGATGTGGGCCCCAGGAATCCTCACACCACGTGTCTGTAAACGACTTTCCTGTAGTTAAAAGTGTGCAGTTGATCGGGGTGGTGCTGAGCAGGCCCAGCGGAAGTTGCGCATTTCAAACCCGCACGTGTGTTCAGCCTCACGCAGTCATTATCCTTCCTGTGGCGTCATGATTCTCCAGTGGGTTTGCTGAGATTGAGGGCTGTCTCCGCCTGTGGACATGGACAGGACTGGCATTGGTTTTTCGTTTTTCTTCCCCATCTGGGTGGACACCTATTGCTGTCATGGTAAGACACCCAGGCGTGTACCTGGGATTTGGAGGTGTCCGGGATAACCAGGACCTGAACACAGCAACCCAGCGTTGGGTCCCTTCAGACTTCTGTTTTTTTTTTTTAAGTTAATGTTTTATTTTTTTGGAGGCAGGGTCTCACTTTGTGGCTCAGACTGGAGTACAGTGGCATGATCATAGATCACTACCACCTCGACTTCCTGGGCTCAAGAGATTCTCCTCCCTCAGCCTCCCAAGTAGCTGGGACTACAGGTGCACACCACCATGCCTAGCTAATTTGTAAAAAAAAATTTTGGCAGAGACAGAGTCTCACCATCTTGCCCTGGCTGATGGTGAGCTCCTAGGCTCCTAGGCTCAAGTGATCCTCTCACTTCGGCCTCCCGAAGTGCTGATTGCAGGTGTGCACCTCTGAGCCTGGCCCGGCCTTGTTTGTTGCTGAGCCTTTGACTTTCTGCCTGATGCCTTCCCTCTCTGTGATAATTCTTCTTTCTATGGAGTTTGGCCACTTTCCTTGTTGGCAGAAGCAACATGAATCACTGGTGCCTGCTAGACCTGTTCAGCCCCCTGCCTGCCCCCTGCCCTTCCCAAGCTTGAGTAGTAGTTTGTTTTCTGCATCATTCAGGGCTGGATGCTGGGGAAACCCAGGCAGAAGCTTCCGTTCCCACAACAGATGCCTTGAAGCCACCGGGGTGCCAGTTAATCACTTTCTGCTGCATGCACTAAATTTCACGGAGGAAGCGGTAGCTGGGTTGCGTTGCACTGCCCAAGACCCCAGCCCCATTGCCTCTTTTCTTACCTTCCTTTGCTTGCCTCTGCTTTACTCTAGTAGGGGAGTTATTTTGCTTGCTCAGGAAGCAGGACCCTAAGTTTTTCTTTTTTCTTTTTTTTTCCTGAGGCAGAATGTTGCTCTGTCACCCAGGCTGGAATGCAGTGGCAGGATCTCTGCTCATTGCAACCTCCACTTCCTGAGTTCAAGCGATTCTCCTGCCTCAGCCTCCTGAGTAGCTGGGATTATAGGCCCCCACCACCACACCCAGCTAATTTTTGTATTTTTAGTAGAGATGGGGTTTCACCATGTTGACCAGGCTGGTCTTGAACTCCTGACCTCAAGTGATCCACCTGCCTCGGCCTCACAAAGTGTTGGGATTACATCCCGCCTGGCCTAGGACCCAAACTCTTGATAAAGCTCTTCCTGGCACTTCATAGAATGTGCCTGAGGCTGAATGTCCTGTTGAGAAACTTTCCCCCAGGCTTCATTCTCTCGGCTCACATGTGCATTGCACTTGAGAGAGGCAGGCCACCTGGCCACCTTATCAGCGGAAGCTAGGGTGTGCCCCCAGGTGTTGTGCAGATCGGGTGAAATTCGGCCTGCCTTTCTGTATTTTACCAGAGAGCCCCCCTGTTGGGGAGGTCTCTGAGAAAGTCCCCATGGGTCTGGGTACGTGGTCAGTGCACAAGGGACAATTGGTAGTGTAAACCAATTTTCATCATTTCAAAAGAGGAGACCATCACCAAAAATTGCTTTGGAGGCATCAGTTGGCCTTTGATCTGCCTGTGTTGAGGTCAAAAAGGTGTGACCTATGGAGCAGCCTGCGAATTGCCTGTATCTTTGTGGACTTTTTCGTTTGCATGTGTGTTGTCTGTTTGCTTCTAAGACATCGCAGACTCTGTACGATGAGCCGAGTGAGTTGCCGTCTTCTCCATTCTTTGTGTTTTCTTTGATGTGTTACATATGGGGCTTAGCATAAGACTTAAAAAATTAAGAGCGATCTGGCCACTGCTCATCCCACCTTTTTGGGTACTATTGTTTGATTTGCAATCAGCAATCCTATTGATAATAAAAGCTACTTTTTTTTTTTCCTCCAAAGGGTATATTTCCTGCTTCATATATTCATCTTAAAGAAGCGATAGTTGAAGGAAAAGGGTGAGTCTGGTCTTGATGTTTAAATGAAGAATTGCGATGACTATATTTGGCCTTGCTGCTCTTTCGTATGATGGCGTAATATCAGAGGGTCAAGACAGTGGGTGTGATTGACTCCAGGGGGACAGGAGTTTTGGGGAGAGAAAGGGGACTTGTGATTCAGAGTTATGTTTAACATGGCTTTGATCCTTTACAGAGTCTGAAGTCAGTACCGTGCTTGCACTTACTGTCCTTGAACCTGGGGTCACTGTTGGAAAGCATTTGCCCTGGTGCTCTGTGCTTCCTCTGTGACCTACTGACTTCATTTGACAGAGGCTCCAAAGCCCCCCAGCTCTGAGTCCCTTTTTTTTGGGCGGGGGGGAAGACATTGCAGGCTGTGATATAAATGGAGTTTAGGGTGAAGCAACAGTTGCTACATTGGGACATACATGAGTTTACATTTTGTCTAATTGTGATGTATGTGTCCTAGAGGTCATAAAACTGATGTATAAGATCATTAAAAGGACATTTCTAGAACAGGAACCCATTAGGCAGGAATGGCAAATGAATAAGCAGGTGTGAACTTGGAAGAAGGAACATTAAAATGTTTTCTTTTTTTGTCTCTGCTGCATCTTCACACTCAGTTAAATATGTAAATTATAAAATTACTAATCATATGATTACTGCATAATGACATCTCTTTGGCTGATTACAAAATTGCCTTTCCAAGCACTGTACTTTTAACATATGAAAGGGACCGTTCGGGTTCCATAGTTCCATGATGCATCATTAAAACGAAGAAAATAATTGAGAGGCACGAACGACGATGACCTACAATATGGTACTTTTTAGACAGATTAAGTGTTTTGTATGCAAAGTTTTAAAGGGAAGAAAAAGAAAGTTGAAACTTCTACTCTGTGGAAGTAACTGAATCAAGTGTGAATTTAGTGTACTTTGTATCTGCATTAGAATCCTTATACAGAGGAGACTGTGTATGATTATTTAAAAAGCACTTTGATATATACAAAAGAATATGTGTAAAATGTAATTGTGAAGCATGATAATAAAGTGGACAACAGCTTATTCTGAGTCTCAGTAAATAGAGTCACACCTAACCAGACAGGCAGACAGAGACACATTCGGTTCCTGTTTCTGAGCCTTCTGGTCCAAGGTGCCCCACTGTGGGCAAATGCATAGAGTTATGGTGAAATGAAGAGTTTAGAAACAGTTTCCCTGCTGTTGCTTTGGGTTCCCTGTGATTGTTCCCCACAGTCTTTACCTGGCTCTATCTGTCTCCCTTGCCGCGGCCACTCAAGTCTAGCTGCCCAACTGCTCTGAAGAACCCTGGCTTCAGGCTTGACAGGTGATCTCATCCCTCTTTTCTTCCAGGTCGTTGTAGACTTCCGCCTTCCCTTCTTCTCCTGGTCCTTTCCCCTTTCCAGTGCCAATGTGGACCACACTATCATCCCACCTCTGCCTGCCTTCTTGCTCTCCAAGTTTATTGTCCTGTCTCTCTTGTACAGTCTCTCTCTTTCAGGATCTGTCTCTTGCTGCTCTCTTGCATGATCGTTCTCATATGGTCTCTGTCTTGCAGGCTGCCTTGTCAGCCCCTCTTTCTTGCATGATCTCTCTCTGGAGTGACCTGTTTCTTGGAGGCTCTGTCTTTCTCTTGCAAGGCTCTCTCTCGTGATCTCTCTCACAGTATCTCACTTGCATTGACTGTCTTGAAGGTTCTCTTTTGCTTCGTCTCTCTTGTCTCTGGACGCTGACTTCATTCATTCTCAGACCTCCCAAATGATTACTCTATGCCTGTTACCACTGATTCTGTACCTGTTCCCCCATAACCAAAGCCATTCTCATTTTGTCCCCCATGCTTTTCCCGGTACTGTCATGGTTAGCAATGCCTCCTTATGTCCAGACCTCGCAGTGTCTTCTCATCCTCTGCCTCCGGAGCTCTACTGCAGCCTTGGACACTGTTGATCCCCGTTTCACTGAAAGCTCCTTTTAACTCCGACGCGCTCATCGTCTTCTTGTTATGCTGACCTACTGCTCAGGCATGTCACCATCTTCTCTGTCCCCTGTCTGCTACTCTGAGGGTGCTGTCCTAGCCTTCTCCTGTTTCTTTGTTGCCCCTCCTTGATTGGCATGGCCTCTGTTCTGTTCCCCTCTTCAGCTGATCTGTCTCTATGGGTGATGCTCACATCGGGACCTCCAGCCCCGACTTGTCTCTTGACCCCTCATTCAGTTAGGCAGCCAAGTAACTAATGAGAGTCATCCCCACTGTTGGGTGAGCATCTGCTATGTCCTATTCGTTCTCTTCTCCAAAAAAATTATTATTACTATTTTTATTTTGTATTGTATATTTTTATTTTTTGAGATGGAGTCTTGCTCTGTCACCCAGGTTGAAGTGCAGTGGCGAGATCTTGGCTCACTGCAACCTCCGCCTCCCAGGTTCAAGTGATTCTCCTGCCTTAACCTCCCCGGTAGCTGGGACTACAGGCATTCACCACCACGC